TACATGTTCTTTTAACTATTTAAGAATTATTTGAAAATTTTATTACAAACATCAGAAAGAAGCAGTCCTGGAGCGGAGGCCAGCGTGGTGTTAATCAAGTCCCAGAGCAGAGGCCAGCGCAGGGGAAATCAAGTCCTGGAGCAGAGGCCAGCACAGGGAAGTGAGTCCCGGAGCGGAGGCTACTGTGGGGAATCGAGTCCCAGAACGGAGGCTGGCATGAGGAAGCAAGTCCCAGAGCGAAGGCCGGCACGGGAAGTGGGTCCTGGAGCGGAGGCTGGCGCAGAGAGCGAGTCCCAGAGCGGAGGCTGGTGCAGGGAAGTGAGTCCCAGAGAAAACTTGCCTTGGAGCAGCTGAGAGCTGGTGTGGAGTGGACTGGGGCTTGCAGCAGAGCAGGGACAGTTGCTGGACCGGGGTCTGGTGCACATGGTCAAACCATGATTGCAAGCCCCTGCGTTCAGCTACTGCAATGTGATATTTATTTGTAATTGTTTTATCTGACTGCATCGTCCATTCTTTCAACTGTGTCATTGTTCCAACTTATACAATGAATCACTGTGAAGAAATGCAACTACTTTTCTTTCTATTCCTCTTTTTGTATCAAAGATTCGTACCTAGGTACTTTGTACCTAAGATTGTGCCATAAGAAGCAATATTGTAAAACCTTTCACTGTACTCCTGTACTTGAGTACATGTGACAATAAAGGATATTTTAATTCTAAGAAAGATTCAACCGTCTTACCTTACTAACACCCAAAACCTCAGGTGAAGGATGACTCTGCCTCCACTCAAGTTGCCTGTTCAGCTAGCATGACTGTAATTGGTTTGTTTTTAGCACATTTCTGCATTCACTCAATACCATTTTCTTTCATTAATGTCTTTCTGAGAACATTAAGAAACTGCTAACTCAGCTCACTCATTCTTTAACATGATTCCCTAAATTCATATGTTTCACAATCTTCTACTTGTGAAACTTTCTTCTATTCTACTCAGCGTGTCTACACCAGTTCTTATCATTTTGGAGATTATTAAACTAATAACGCCTCAACTGTTATAGACCTTTTCTCTGAATGAAACTGCATTCCGCCTAAAATCTTCTGAATGGTTATGAATTTGTGTTGCTGGATTCCTGTCACTAGGCAACTGCACTCTTTTCTTTCCCCTTTTTTTGCATGCACTGAACTACTCACTTCAAGGGCTTTAAAGACCCCATTTAAATGCATGTAAACAAATCTCCAGACACACCAATACTGTTTATAGAACATACCTAGTATGAAACTAAAAACCATTTCCTTCCTCTTCTTAACACATACAATATAGAATTTCAACCAAACTTAATTCTATACGTCGGTCATTCTTGTTAGAACCTCAGATCTCAAAGAAAAATAATTCATTATGAGCCTTTATCACAGAGCTACTGCTCAAAGATATCACTGAAAACACGACATCAGGTTAAAAATGTATGCTAATGGCATTCAGCTCTATGTGGTGAGTCACTGACTACAGAATTCCTAGCTTCTGGCATGTTCTTCTAGCCACAGTATTCACATGGCTAGTCCAGTTCAGTTTCTATTCTATGATAAGACCCAAGATGGTGGCTAGCAAATTCAGTGACAGTAATGCCAATGAATATTCAGGGGTAATGGTTAGATTCTCTTTTACCGAATACAGTCATTGCCTGGCACACGTACGGTGCAAATGTTACTTGCCACTTATCAGGCTGAGCCTGGTTGTTGTCCAGGATTTGCTGCACATGGACAGACTACTTCAGTATCTGAGGAGTTGCAAATGTTGCTGAACATTCTGCAATCATTAGGGAACATCCCCACTTCTAATATAGTCTGAAGGAATGCCTGAAACCTAATGGAATGAGGAAACAAGTGATGGATATATAGTATTAATTAAGGTTATCCTAATTGGATGTGAAATAGCTGTATAAATATGGGGAGCTAATAATCAGTGGAGTAAGAGTTTTATGGAGTAGGATAACGGAAATAAAGCTCTCACTAAAAGTGTTGATTTGGACCCTGTTTCAATATAGTTATCTTCTAGTATATGACCCTTCTGACCTTATGATGGAACAAAGGTCATTAATGTGGCAGCAGAAGATTGCTGGGCCTAGGACAATACTTTGAAGAAGTCCTTCGGTGATGTCCTTACCTGGTCTGGCTGACACTTGATGCCAAACATGCAGCAATGTAACTGACTCTTAACTGGCCTGTGAAACTCAGTAACAAAAACAGAAATTGCTGGAAAATCTCAGCAGGCTGGCAGTATATGTGGGACAAATCAGTTAACATTTCAGGTCTAGTGTCCCTTCTTCAGAACTCACTGGACTTGGTCTCCACAAGCACTGTGCAGTGGTCATCCTTGCTGATAACTGTCTCCAACAACCACAAACATCTTTCTTCATGTATATATGACTTATTGGGGAACCAGCGCAAGCTCAATGGGCCAACTGGTCTCCCCCTTTACTGTAACAATTCTGTAATTCTGTCCTATATTAGCAAGGGGAGCAGCAGCCATTCCAGTCACGTATTCAAAAGACAGTGACAGTAGATAGAGATAGTAGAAACTGCTGATGCTGGAGAATCTGAGATAACAAGGTGTAGAGCTGTATGAACACAGCAGGCCAAGCAGCATCAGAGGAGCAGGAAAGCTGACGTTTTGGGTCTAGACCCTTCTTCAGAAATAGGGGAGGGGAAGGGGATTCTGAAATAAATAGGGAGAGAGGGGGAGGCAGATAGAAGATGGATAAAGGAGCAGATAGGTGGAGAGAAGACAGACAAGTCAAAGAGACGGGGTGGGAGCCAGTAAAAGTGAGTGTAGGTGGGGAGTTAGGGAGGGGACCGCTTTGTGGAACACCTACGCTTGGTTCGCGACAAACGACTGCACCTCCCAGTCGCAAACCATTTCAACTCCCCCTCCCACTCCTTGGACGACATGTCCATCCTGTGCCTCCTGCAGTGCCACAACGATGCCACCCGAAGGTTGCAGGGACAGCATCTCATATTTCACTTGGGAACCCTGCAGCCCAATGGTATCAATGTGGACTTCACAAGATTCAAAATCTCCACTCCCCCGACCGCATCCCAAAACCAGCCCAGTTCGTCCCCGCCTCCCTAACCTGTCCTTCCTCCCACCTATCCACTCCTCCCACATCAAGCCCCACCCCCATCTCCTACCTACTAGCCTCATCCTGCCTCCTTGACCTATCAGTTTTCCCTGGACTGATCTATTTCCTCCCTAACTCCACACCTACACTCACCTTTACTGGCTTCCACCCTGCCTCTTTAACCTTTCTTTCTCCTCTCCACCTGTCTTCTCCTTTATTCATCTTCTATCCTCCTCCCCCTCTCTCCCTATTTATTTCAGAATCCCCTTCCCCTCCCCCATTTCTGAAGAAGGGTCTAGACCCGAAACGTCAGCTTTCCTGCTCCTCTGATGCTGCTTGGCCTGCTGTGTTCATCCAGCTCTACACCTTGTTACCTAGTGACAGTAGATAGTTGTGGAGATTAATGCTAGTTCTCAGTTCTGAAGACATGGCTGCAGTGCCAGAAAAAACTCACAACGATCAAATTTGAGTTGCTAAGGTGAACTAATTCATCTTCACGTCACAACCTATTAATTGCACTAGCTCCAGAATTGCTTAATTCACTACACCCCATCACTCACATACCAAAAATCTCTGTCAATCTGTCATCATTCATATACTGCCACATATTCAATTGAAAGAAGCTGAATATTATTTAAATGGAGAAAAACTGCAGAAAGCTACAGAATACAGGGACTTGGGAGACCTTGTGCATGAATCTCAAAAAGCTAGTGTTCAAGTTCAGAAGGTAACAGGGAAGGCAAATGGAATGTTGAGCTCTATTTCAAAGGGAATGGAGTATAAAAGTGGGGAAGGTTTGCTAAAACTGACACTGTCAGACCACAGTTGGAATTCAGTTTTGGGCCCTCTATCTAAGGAAAGATATACTGAGATTGGAGACAATCCAGATATGGTTCATTAGCCTAACATCAGGAACAGAGGAAGTGGGGAAAGTGAATTGGTTGGGCCCGTATTCAATGAAATTTAGAAGAATAAAATGCAACCTTATTGAAACACATAAGATTCTTCGGGCACTTGACGGGGTAAAGGCGAAAGATTATTTCCCTTTATGGGACAGTGTAGGACTAGAGGGCATAATCTCAGAATATGACATTTAAAACAGAGATTAAGAGAAATTTCTTCTCTCAGATGGTAGTGAATTTGTTGAATTCTTTACCATAGAGGGCTGTCGAAGCTGGGTTGTTAAGTATATTCAAAGCTAAGATAGACAGATTTTTAATCAGTAAGGGTCAAGGATTATGGGGAAAAGACAAAAAATTGAATTTGAGGATTATCAGATTAGCCATGATTGCAGTGAATGGCAGGGAAGACCCAATGGGCTGTATGACCTACTTCTGCTCCAATGTCTTATGGTCTTACTAACCATACTGCATAACAGTACAGACATACTTTTCTCTTTCATTTGCAGTACAAGGTAACATACAACCACAGACAGGCAACAGGAGTCAGAAGAGGGGACAGGCACATCTGCACGTCACAAACACCAAGCAGGGAACATTGCTGGCCATCTGTGGAACAACTACTGCTGAGGCCTATACAGTGACGGGGATGAACATTACCATTTCAACAACAGAAAGTAAAATGGAAGAGACTTTAGGACAACGTTTAACAATGCATGTAGCATATACATATAAAAATACTGAACTATGAAATTTTAATGATATCAAATCAACAGGAACCATTCTGCACAGTGGACACCAATCTGGATAAAAACAGGAACTGAAACATTAAATGCTCTTCAGAAACTGTAGAGTTTCTCTTTACATATGCTGCCTAAGCTGCTGAGGATTTCTGTTTCTATTTCAGAATCTGCAATATTTTAATTTTGTATTAATCTGGATAATCCAAGGTATTACTATCAAATAAAGATATAAATAACTTGATGTACCTTCAGCTGCTCTCTTGAAGAACACCTTGCAACTGCCACAAGTGAGTGCTCCATAATGACATCCTGATGCCTCATCTCCACAAATGAGACAGGTTTTCTGAGGTTGGAAAAAGTAGTCCATTTGGAGACCAAGACTCCTCGTATTCTCCGATCTTAAATGAAAACAAAGAACGCATAAGTTTCATAGTGTTTGCTGTAAACAAATGTAAATATCTGTTAAAACAAGTTAGAATGATCAGAAATGCCTTACACTTACAAAGTCAAGCTCAGTTCTCTTAAAGGTTGCTTTCTCTGATTTTTTTTTAACGAGTGCATTGTTGATTGTATTCTCTAGGTTTAGATGATATCCATGAAAACATCAAACCAACGGTCTTAAGATTAAACCGCATTGTTTTAATTTAATCACTTTAAAAAACGCTCCAAATTTGTCAGAAATTGGAAAGAAAAATGTTAATTTTAAACCATTTTCAACACAATGTTTATGTTGAAATGTTGCTTAAGTCAATTAATTTGTAAAGATTCTGCATACACTAATTACATTCCAGGCTATTCGGGACACAGAGAGTATGAATACATTAATGATTTCATCTGAAAAATGTTTCTGTTGCTCCAGCAGTCAATCACACTTTAATTGTGGGGTAACTGAAGTCATGCAAATTAACGGTGAGGTAGAATACCCAATTTTACAACTGTAGGTAATAGTCAATATATTTGCAGCTCTACTGACCACCCCTGATCTCCTGAGGATGCAAAGAAGAAATGCAGACTTAGCAGCAACTTGCATTTAGACAACATCTTTAACATAGGCATTTCAGAAGATTGATCATTGAGTACAATTTAACAGCTGCTAAATAAGAAGATATTAGAAAAAGTGACTAATGCTTAAAGTGGCATTCAAGAAAGGAAGCAAGATACAGGGTTTTAAGGAGGAAATTCTAGAGCTTAAAGGCTAGACAGTTGAAAAAATGCACAAATGAAGGGATGAAATAAATGTGTGATGTGCAAAGGGTCAGATCAGGAGGAGCGTAGAGTTGTCAGAGGTTAGGAGAACTTGAGGAGTTACAGAGATTGATAACGGGAAAGCCCATGTATGTATCTGAAAATAATACAAATTTGAAGTCAGTAACCAAGCACATGGGGGCAAGTATTTAGCGTAAATAAGGTTATGTACAGCATAGTTTTGGATTACCTAAATTCATATAGAGTGCAAGGGTGGGAAGCTAGCCAAGAGAGAACTACAATAGTTTCATCTAGTGGTAACAAATGCATCCATGCAGACTTAAGCAGCAGATACAGAGACAAATGATGTTCAATGTGGAAATACTCTGTTCTGGTGACAGAGACAATGTAGAGCTTAACTCAGTTATATAATACACCAAATTTGCCAACAGTCTGGTTTAATCTCGGACAGTGGCCACGGAAATGGATGGAATTCTTTAAAAACAACTTGCGTCAGTTAATTGGAGGAAAATTTCCACTCATCGAATCCTGACAAGCTGTGTTACAAATCAGACCGGGTGGAGGGGTCAATGAAGATGGTAGTAAGTTTGCGTAAAATGTTATCAGCACATGGAACCTGACATTATGGTTTCAGAAATTCACAGAAATGAAATTGCATGAGAAACCAGGTCTGGCTGCATCGGTGGAGAGAAAACAGAGTTAACATTTCGAGTTCAGTGGTATTTTTTCAGAACTGGACTTCAAACATTAACTCTGTTTTCTCTGCACGTATACTGCCAGATCTGCTGAGTTTCTCCACCAATTTCTGTTATAGTTGTTTCAGATCTCCAGAATTCGCAGTTACTTGCTTTATAGTGTTTTCAGATGTTGTCATGGGACAGTCTCCTGATGTTAAACAGAGTTGGCCAAGGATAGATCCCTGGGGCACTCTGTAGGTGATAGAGCGGAAGCAGAAGCCATTTTAGGTCTATGGATAAGGAACTGAATGAGATTTCAGGAGCTGAACAATTAACAAAGAAAACAGTGGAGAAGCATAGGGTGCTCAAACATACCAAAGGTTGCAGATGAGGAGGAACAGCTTACCATTGTCACTCTTATCTGCATCTTAAAAGGTAATTTTAGAACCATGCCTCAATGTCGTGCAGAATCCTCTTGTTACTCTCAACAGCCTCCCAATTTCAATTTCAATAAGCTATATGACTATGAAAAGGAATTGATGAAATGGTTTCCTGTTGCCTTCCTCACTTATACTAAAAGAAGTACACAAGACTTCTTGAAGGAATGTCTGCATGTAATTAGCCAGGTTCTCTCAAGGCTTTATCTCTTCTGCTGCCATTGAATATTTGCTGGTTTTGCCATTGGGCATGGCTTATAACCCTGAACATGGGATTCTTTCTTTGACTACTGCTGACAAAACAAATAGGGGTGCCTCTGTTCAGTCCTATGGTGGGGTGAAAACCTAAATGGAGAGGTTAAAATAAGGAACTGACAGAAAGATGAGCAGAGATTTGGGGTCCAGAAACACAATTCAAGAACTTTAAACTGAAATGGGAAATGAGAGATTGGACATAATTTGGTAAGACAGTCAAGAGTGCTTTTTTTGATGTGGGTCGGCATATTTAATGAAGAATAGAAATATCTGAGGACCCATGAAAGAAAGTTTAAAAAGCTTCCCCTCCATTCACAGGCTGGTTCTTTCTAATGCTTGCTGCTGACAGGTTTACTGGTGTGTAGTCCAATAATAAACATGGGAGAGGAAAATTCTGAGTGGAACAGCAACAAGCAGATGGTAAGTAAGTATAAACAATGAGAGAACTGCTGGTGGAGTGAGGTTCGGGAGCAGGAAGCCCGGTTTGGGAGGACAGATGTGGTATGGAAACAAGGTGCAGAAGGGAGTGGGAGGCTGACATCCAGGGAATTAGGAGCAGAGGATCAGTAGTTGGGGCCAAGAATCAGAATAGAGAGCCATAAGCTGTGAGCCGAGACTGGAGGGCTGTGATCCAGGAGCAAAGAGCTCGGAGCAGTACGTTGAAGGTTGGAGCCAGGAGCTAGCTACTGAAGCTGAAAGGAGGACTGTGGCAGCACATTTCTGCTGAGACAGTCATCCACCCAGTGTACTGGACTGGGGAAGACGGAAACTGCAAGTGGCTTGAAGGCAAAAAAGCTGCAAGGAAGAAAGGCAAGAAAGCCTTGAGGGAGACTGGGGCCTGTAATGGGGCTCTGGATAACAGGGAGGCTGCAAAGGGATGGAGGGAGACCTGGGACCTGGAGGAGATGGCGAAGCTGCAAGGGGGATTGAGGAGAACGGAGTCCTCAAGTGGGTAAGAAGAGTCGAAGACGCTAAAAGAGAGCATGAAGAGAAAAGAGAGGTAGTAAGAAAGGAGGACGACATAGGGAGGTCATAGGAGAGCATAGGAGAAGATGAGGAAGTCAAAAATGGACAGGAGGAGAAAGGTCACAAGAAAGTGGGAACAAATGGGAGCCTCGATGTGGGGGTAGAAGGAAAAGTTATAAAGGAGTGGCAAAGACTGGGAGACTGCAAGGGAGTTGACAGAGAGATGGAGTATGTAAAGGATGTGACAGAGAGGTGAGAAGAGAAGGGAAAGGAAATTGCAAAGAAGGCAGAAGTTTCAAACCTGTCAACAAAGGAACACTCAGCTAACAGGAGCTATGAAATCTTGAATTCACTGAGATATAAAATAGAACACAGAACAGTACAGCATAGCATAGGAACAGGCCTTTCAGCCCACCATCTCTGCGCTGACCATGATGTTATACTAAACTAATCCTATCTGCATATGTATCCCTCTACTCTTTACCTGTTCATGTATGTTTCTAAATGCCTCTTAAACTTTGCTATTGTACCTGCATCTACAACCTCCCCTGGCAGCATGTTTCAGGTTACCCTCTGTATTAAAAACAATCTTCATACATCTCCTTTAAACTTTCTCACTTTCACCTTCAACCTATGTCCCCTAGTATTTGACATTTCCACCTTGGGAAAAAAGACTAAAAGGGATAATGAATTACTTGCAAATGGATGTGATATCTCTAGGTTAAGACTATATATTTTAGGAGCAATATGGGGGAACATTGTAGCAAATATCATAGTAAGAAACACTCACTCAATTATTACATTTAAATCTGAGATTAAAATCTGAGGGTGTAATTATGAAAGTATAAGAAGCAAGTTTCCTGGGGTGGTTTGGAAAAATACCTTAAATGCTTTCATGGAACTTAGACAATGGCTAGTATCGAAAGAATTAATACTTAGTTTTCAAAGAAATATATATTTCTATGAGACAAAGATACCCAATGGGAAAAGCCACAGCTAACAAAGGAAGTTAAAAAAAATTACATTAAAGGAGGAGGCCAATTAAGTTGCCAAAAAAAATTGTAAGCTTGAGAACTGGATGAATTTTTGAATTCAGTAAAGGACAAAGAAATTGATCAAGGAACATGAATGTAAAATAATAAGAAACATAAAAACAGGTGGTAAAAGCTTCTATAAACATGCAAACAAGAAAGTATTAGCAAAGGCAAATGAGGGAGGAGGTGGCCTAGTGGTATTATCTTGGGACTATTAATCCAGAGACCCAGATAACATTCTGGTGACCTGGGTTCGAAGGGCAGATGGTGGAATTTGAATTTAATAAAATATCTGGAATTAAGAATCTAATGATGACTATGAAGCCATTGTCGATTATCGGAAATGTCCTTAATGTCACTAATGTCCTTTAGGGAAGAAAGTGCCATTCTTACCTGGTCTACATGTGATTCTACACCCACAGCAATGCGGTTGACTCTTAACTGTCCTCTGGGCAATTAGGGATGGGCAATAAATGCTACCTGGCCAGCGATGCTCTCATTCCATGAATGAACAAAGAAAAAAAATGTGTATCCATTGCAAACAAAGATAGGAGAGTCTATGATATGAAATTGAGAAAAGGCAAAGAAGTTAACAAGTACTTTGTGTCTGTCTTCAGAGAGACACAAGAGATCTCACTGAAATATTTAAGATCTAAGGGTCTTTTGAGAATGTGTTAATTCACCGCTGTTAAATGGTCAGTATTAGGTGATTTTTTTTCCAGATTTTTAATTAAATTCAAATTTCATTATCTGCCGCAATGAAACTTGCCTGAGATTCTGGATTACTTCAGTGACATTACTGCGATGCGGTGAGAGAGTTGCA